GATGGGACATGACATGGATGGGGCATCATCCAGGTGGGACATTGCATGGATGGGCATCACCCGGGTGAGATGTCGTATGGATGGGACATTACATGGACAGGACATTACATGGACAGGACATAATCCAGGTGGGACAGCGTGTGGATGGGACATCACCCAGGTGGGCCATCACATGGATGGGACATTGCATGGATAGTCATCGCATGCATGGACTATAACCCAGGTGAGATATCACRTGGGTGGGACATCACYCAGGTGGGACATCAYCCAGGTGGGACATCATCCAGGTGGGACATCACATGGAGGGGACATCACGTAGAGGGGACATCACGTGGAGGGGACATCGCAATGGGGGGAACATCGCATGGGGGGGACACCCCCCTGCTTGGCCCACTAAGGACCTGCTCCCTGGGGAACACCGGCCTTAGGAGCTGAAATCCCAGCACGGAGCCGGCGGGAAGCAGGGCAGGATCCCGCGGGAAGCTGCCGGTCACCATGGCAGCGGGAGCAGCGGGAATGCCGGGCGCTCCCGGGCGCTCCCGGAGCGGGCGGCACCGGCGCTCCCGGCCCTGAGTCAATATTGACTCTGGTGTGTGCCCGAGGAGGAGGAGGAGGAGGAAGCAGGACCGGGCGGAGGCCGCTGCGACGTTCCCAAGGAGGGGGGGACGGATGCGGTGCCCGGCTCCGGCTGCCATCCCGGCTCCGGCGTTGGCACTTGCTGCTTTCCCGGCCCCGGGAAAACAGGTCGGATTGGGAGCGGCGGCTAATGGCGCCCGGGAGCCTTCACAGCCCCGCGGCGAGTGAGGAAGGCCAAAAAGGGGAGAAATCGCCCCAAAACGGAGGCTTTCCAGGGATGCTCCCGAGGCCGGAGCAGCAGCGGCTGCCGCGGGCGCCCCGGTGGCTCCGGACACCCGGATATCCCGGAGTGTCGGGGGGGGCAGCGCCCAGGGCCCGGCCGCGGACGTGGCAGCTGCCCGGCTGCTTCCCTATGGATTCCCTGGCTGCTTCCCTATGGAATGCTCGGCTGCTTCCCTATGGAGCGCCTGGCTGCTTCCCTATGGATTCCCTGGCTGCTTCCCTATGGATTGCCCGGAGTCTCCTGTGGATCCCCCTCCCACGGATCCCCCAGCGCTGCCGGGATGCAGCGGCTCCGGAGCGGCCCGAGGCGGCGCTCCGGGTGCTCCCCCCAGCTCCCAGGAATCCCGCTCATCCCGGGATGCTGCCCAGGCTGGATCCCCCTCGCTGGCCCCCAGGTCCCCCCCATGTCCCTGCTCACGCTGGGGACCCCAAAGTCCTCGTGCCCACCCCAGGGTCCCCGCTCATCCCGGGATCTGGAGTCATCCTTGGGTCTGCCCCCCCCCCCCCCCCCCCCCTTATACCAGATCCCCCCTCATCCTCCCCTGAGCACCTGGCTCCTCCTCATCCCGGATCCCTGCTCCCCTCAGATCCTCCCTTATCCTGGATCCCCCCTTACCCTGGATCCCCCTCATCCCTGATCCCCTCTCATTGGGAATTGTCCTCATCCTGGATCCCCCCTCACCCTGGGTCCCCTCTCATTCCAGATCCCTTCTCATGGGGAATTGCCCTCATCCCCTCTCACCCTGGGTCCCCTCTCATTCCAGATCCCCCTCATCCTGGACGCTCCTCACCCTGGATCCCCCCTCACCCCAGATCCCCCCTCATCCCAGATCCCCTTTCATTCCACATCCCCCTCATCCCGGATCCCCCCTCATCCTGGATCCCCTTTCTTTCCAGATTCTCCTTCATTCCGGATCCCCCTTACCCCGGATCCCCTTTCATTTCACACCCCCCTCATCCCGGATCCTCATCCCGGATCCTCATCCCGGATCCGCTTTTATTCCACATCCCCCTCATCGCAGATCCTCATCCCGGATCCCCTTTCATTCCAGATCCCCCTCATTCCGGATCCCCCCTCATCCCAGATCCCCTTTCACTCCACATCCTCCTCATCCCGGATCCCCCCTCATCCCGGATCCCCCCTCATCCCAGATCCCCTTTCATTCCACATCCTCCTCATCCCGGATCCCCCCTCATCCTGGATCCCCCCTCATCCCAGATCCCCTTTCATTCCACATCCTCCTCATCCCGG